AACCTGATGGGACAAGAAAGATACTAGAATAACTAAAACAGTTTCGAAAAGTAATGAAGTTGGAGGAATCACAATACCTGATTTTAAGATTTATTTTTAAACTACGGACAGCAAAACAGTGTGGGATTGGTGAAGGGGTAGACATATAGATCAATGGGGATGACTACAGAGTCCAGGAATTGACTCACAAAAATATGGCTAATTGACTTTGACAAAGGTAAAAAGACAATTCAATGGAGAAAGGACAATCTTTTCACAAATGGTGTTAGAACAATTAGATTCCATATTGCCCCCCCCAAAAAATTTGGACCTAAACCTCACATATTACACAAAATTTATCTCAAAATAGGTCATAGATCTAAATGTTAAACATTATAAAATTTTTAGAAAGCATTGGACAAAATTTTCATGACACAAGATCACGCTAAAAATTCTTAGACATGACCAACATCACCATCCACTTAAAAAACCCTGCATTTTATTTTGTCAAAAATATTTCCTCTGCAAAGAAGCTGGAAAAACACATAATAATATGTGGATATGATGGCATTTTTGTAAAACAAACAAAACCCCATAAATACAGTCAAACCTCTCTTAAATGGACCACCCAAAGGACTGTAACAAGCAGGTCAACATACAGAGATGGTCAACATAAGGAACTAGGCCTACTGTACTGATGCATACGTGTGGTGCAAGTCAGGTCTATGTAAATTAGGTCAACTCAAGGAAGTAGTCAATGTAAGGAGGTGGTCAACTATGGAGGTTCTATCCCAGAACAAAAGTTTTTTGTTTTTTTAAGAGAGTCTCAAGCTGTCGCCCTTGGTAGAGTGCTGTGGCATCACAGCTCAAAGCAACGTCAAACTCCTAGGCTTAAATGATTCTCTTGCCTTGGCCTCCCAAGTAGCTGGGACTACAGGTGCCTGCCACAATGCCCCGCTATTTTTTGGTTATAATTGTGATTGTTGTTTGGCAGGTCCAGGCTGGATTTGAACCAGCTCTGGTGTATGTGGCTGGCACCTTAGCCGCTTGAGCTACAGGTGCCAGCCTGGAACAAAAGTTTTAAAAAGCATTATTATATTCTTGTGGTGCAGGTGCCTGAAGGGTGGAGTATACAGTTACTTCTGACTCCATACCCTCCTATAGTGATTGCATTTTTTATGGGCAACTCTTACTTTTATATAAGGTCCCAAGTCTCCCCACCACAGGCAGCTTTCAAATGAAAAGCCATGTGCAGTTAAGAATTAACTCCTCAGATTCCTTCCACTCTAAAACTCTAGGACTTTAGAATTAATTCAGATGTGAGTATTGAAAATCCCCTAAGTGAGAAAAAGTTTGCCACTTTTTAATTTCTGGATCACTAAAATAAAATTCTCAAATCCTCAATTTCACACTAGTGCCCCCTAATCGAGTCAGACCCGAGAAAAATGTTATTTATCCTGTGTCATGGGTCATTTGATTTCTAAGTGACTAGTAGTCCTACTAGTATTTTCTTAAATCATTTTAAGTGTGTCCCCTTCTTTTGCAGGATGGATCAGACCCACAGTCCATTTATTGGACCACAGAAAGCATAGTTTTCAGTCGGAGTCTGATTTTCATCTTCACCAGTCCTAACTTCATTAATTTTGCCTATAACTATGTTAAGTATCTCAATTAGCGGAGTATAAGTCTGAATCTAAATAATTCATCTAACTAACAGCAAATCAGGGGTAGATTCTTATAATGAAACGTTAAATGTTAGACTCAAGAACAGTCATAGATTTACTGGGTGGTTAATGAGACTTAAGCTCAGGAACCCTCATCTGTCTGACCCTTTTAAGAGCCAGTTGGGTCCCTAGAAATGTGTTCACATTTTTGTGGATTTAAAAAAGATATTTTGACCACAATCAGCAAGAACATCTCTCTCCACCATTGACTTTGCTTCCATCATGCTTCTCTGCCTAATGAGTGGCAATGGAGGGTCTGTGGGCACTTTGGAGATTTGGTTAAGGGGGTAAAGTTAGGTTTCATTTGAGTTGGGTGGGGATATGCTTCTGTGGTTGGCAGCAGCTCAGTGTGTAGTTAATTATCGTTGGCCGTAGGAATTTCTCTAAGTCAGCGGTTCTCAACCTGTGGGTTGCAGCCCCTTTGGGGGTCAAACGACCCTTTCATAGGGGTCATCTAAGACCATCTTGCATATAAGATATTTACATTACAATTCATAACAGTAGCAAAATTACAGTTATGAAGTAGCAACAAAAATAATTTTATAGTTGGGGATCACCACAACATGAGGAACCGTATTAAAGGGCCGTGGCATTAGGAAGGTTGAGAACCACTGCTCTAGGTAGACTCCTACAGCTCACTGTGCTGGTTCCCTTGCTGAGAGGCCGTGAGGATCCAGGCCAGCAGTGGCGTCACACAATATGAGTGTGTCCAATGGTCTCTGTCCCTTGTGCAGGGACAGCAGGGCTTGAAAGGTACAGAGTTAAAGGTGGTCTGTGGAAAATTCCTCCAAATCTAACGATCTACACATGAAATAAACTAGATAGGAGTTTTTCTGAATTTGACAATCCCTAAACATTTAGACCACATTATCAATAATGAGTGGAAATTGAAAAGCTGAGAAGGAAACTTCTCTAATTCATCAGGAATAACAAATTTTTTTGATTAATCATGTCAGAGGAAAGGCAATTACTTTTCTATACTTCCTACAGGAAATGATTTCATAAAATTAATGTTATATAAAGAGGCAATCAAAGACCATGAAGGCACAAAGTATCAGAGGAAACGTATTCTTAGATACACCAGGCAGTTAATTAAGCTAGTGCTATTTTCCTGGATTTTGTGACCTTTACAGTGTTAGTTTTTGAGCTTTGTGATTTGTTGTGATTTTCTTTCTCATTCTAAATAAATACTCACTTTCAGATCTAATTTTGTGTTCTTTTTTCTAAAGAGGGCTGCCCAAATTGTATAAATTTCAGGCCCCACAAAGCCTGGATTATCCCTACATAGGAACTTTCAAATATTTAGAACCAAGACAAGCTTTTCCTTTTGGTTAAGGATTCTTAATAACACAGCCAAGTGGGATTGTGGTTTAGCTTTGTCTAGATTCTGACCTCTGCAATGGAATTGGTAGCTCTGGGGTGTCAGAACTGAGAACAGTGAGAGGCACATAGATTCATCACCAATCACCCAGCAGGGAGGAGACCTGGGTGGAATCTGGCACCTAGCATGGATTTCTGTTCCAGAAAAGAAATCTTCCACAAAGAAGGTCTAATGAAATGACCTGCTGGGGCTTTGATCTGATTTAAAACAAGGAAGACTTCCCAGAGAAGAGTGTGATCCACTGGATTTGCGGTATCTAGGTTCAATTCACCTAGGTTTGGTTTTCCCACTCCAAAGGAAAAGTTAAGAGAAGGTCAGCACAGTGGATGATGATGACAATACTCTCCCGTCTCAAAGTCCCTTCCTCTCCTCTGTCAGTGACTGAGTTCTGTGTTGGACTGATAGATCTTATGGGAGAGCCTATGGCCAATGGAGCCAGCAACCCCTGACGTAATCTTGCAACAGTTTCTCTCACAAGAGCAGATGGCAGTAATGCACTGGGGGCTTCACTCAGAAGCACCAGCCCTTATTGGTGAGAAGGAGTTTCCCTGCATAAATCACTGGTTAACCCATTTATTAGTAATCTTGCTTGCTTGATCTTGTTGGTATATATTCCCCCATTTAAAGATGATTTTGTCCTTTTATATCTCAAACTAAACAAAACAATATTACCATGGCATTTCTCCATGGGCCCACAATTTGGCTCCAAGGGCAGTAATAAAACAATGGTCAGAACACTCCCTCTGTTTACTGAACTGGCCACCCAGTAGTCTCCACAGCAAGGGACTCAGCTGAATTAACACAA